ACTGACAAAAACAAGCAATGGGGAAAGGACTCCCTGTTTAATAAATGGTGTGGGAAAACTGGCTAGCCATGTGCAAAAAGTTGAAACTGGACCCCTTCCTCACACCTTATACAAAAATTAACTCCAGATGGATTAAAGATTTAAACACAAGAACACCATAAAAACCCTAGAAGAAAACCTAGGCAATACCATTCAAGACATGGCCATAGGCAAGGACTTCATGACTAAAACACCAAAAGCAATGGCAACAAAAACTGTAAGGAAAAATGAAAATAGTTGCTGAAAGACTTTTTTGAGACAGAGTCTCACTCTTGTCACCCAGGCTAGAGTGCAATGGCATGATCTCGGCTCACTGCAACCTCCACCTCCTGGGATCCAGCGATTCTCCTGCCTCAGCCTCCTGAGTAGCTGGGATTACAGGTGCCCACCACCACACTTGGCTAATTTTTGTATTTTAGTAGAGATGGGATTTCACCATGCTGGCCAGGCTGGTCTAAAACTCCTGACCTCAGGTGATCCATCTGCCTCAGTTTCCTAAAGTGCTAGGATTACAGGAGTGAGCCACTGTGCCAGGCCAAGACTTTAACATTCTTTTCTCTAAATTTTTAACACATTAAGAACTATAAATAAGCATGTGAGAGACCTGAATATATACTGAAACACTACATGTTTGATAATTATATGTTCAGGTCATTTATCAAAAAATGAACAAATAAAATCAACTTAATAAACATGAATGTTTGATTTCAAACCGATATGAACACCTTATGGCTTTTTTTTTTTTTTGGATTTTTCATAGAGACAAGATTTCACCATGTTGTCCAGGATGGTCTCCATCTCTTGACCTCGTGATCCACCCACTTCAGCCTCCCAAAGTGCTGGGATTACAGGCGTGAGCTACCTCGCCCAGCCACCTGACCCTGACAGCTTTTAAAGGCAGCAATATATGCCTAATTTCCAAAGCAAAGAGTTATTTTCACAGTCACTAAATCTTCACAAAAATTTTATCTTCTCTTATGTTAACATTTTGGGAAGAAAAAAGGCAAACCAGGCAATTGGCATATTTGTCTACTACAGCAATATTTTCAGAGAAAATCTGATAACCTTGATAATACAGATTCTTAATAATCAAGCCTTCCAATAATCTGCATCACCAGCATCATGAATTCATCTCTCATTTATAGACTGCAGATTCACTCAGTCAATAAATGTCAATCAAGGTCTCATATTGCCACTGCTGTGCCATTCTCAATCAAGTTTACAGAACATTTCCAACATCTAAAGAATCAGGTACTGGGTGTCCTTTGATTTTTTCATTTAATTTTTAAAATTAAAATACGACATGCACATGGTTAAAAACTTTTTGGCCAGATGCAGTGACTCATACCCATAATTCCAGCACTTTGGGAGGCCTAGGTGGGTGGATCACTCAAGCCCATAGAGACCCAGGGCTAAAAATATTAGGCAGGCATAATGGTGCATGCCTGTGATCCCAGGTAATTGGGAGGCTGAGGTGGGAGTACTGCTTGAGCCCCGGAGTTCAAGGATGCAGTGAGCTATGAACCCACCACTGCACTCCAGTCTAGGCAACAGAATGAGACTTTGTCTCAGAAAAAAAATAAATAAATAAAATTGTGCTGAAAGACTGTCTGAACCACTTTTATCTAATCTGCCAGTCTAGAAGCCTAGAGGCAACTCTAGTTACTTCTGTTAATTAACTGGTCTTGGTTCTAATCATTAGTGCTACTATTGATTTTTCCCCTCTAATGTTTTGTTTTTTATTTTCATTTATTCACTTTCAACAATTTCAACTTTTATTTCAGATTCAGGGGATACATGGGTAGGTTTGTTACATGGGCATATCATGTGACACTGAGGTTTGGAATGTGAATGATCCCATCACTTGAATGGTGAGCATAGTAGCCAGTGGGTAGTGCCCTTACCCTCCCTTCTCTCTCCACCCTCTAGTATTCCCCAAGGCATCATTCCCATCTTTATGCCCAAGTGTACCCAATGTTTAGTTCCCACTTATGAGTGACAACATGCAGTATTTGGTTTTCTGTTACCATGTTAATTCTCCCAGGATAATGGCCTCCAGCTGCATCCATGTTGCTACAAAGAACATCATTTCACTCCTTTTTATGGCTGCATACTATACGACTTTATATAAGGGATTTGAGCATCCATGGATTTCGGCACCCTCAGGAGATCCTGAAACCAATCCCCTGCTGATGCTGAGGGATAACATGTAACCCTGGAAGGCTGTGTGCATTTCCAGTCACGTTAGGGACAAGACAAAGATGTATACTATCATCTTTATTATTTAAAGTTATTCTCAAAGTCTTATCATTGCAATTATACTAGTAAATAAATCCAAATAGCAAATATCAGGAAATCAACTTTTTATCACTGACAGATGATTACTGTTTACCCAGAAAATTCCAACGAAAATATGTAATAGTAAGAATATGGCCAGTAACAAAATAAATATATACAAATGAATTTTTTTCTAAACACCAATAACTAGTCAAAAATATAAACAAAATAGCTTTTCCCACCAATAAAAACCAATTCAAAAATATAACATAAATTAGAAAAATGAGACCTATTTATATTAAAAATAAAAAATATAAACTACCTAGGAATAAAACTAATGAAAAAAATACAAAGAACATTTATGACTAAATCTTTAAAAGAAGATCCTCAGAGAGATTTGTTAAAGGGTACAAAATTACAGCTAGTCAGGAGGGTAAGTTCCAGTGTTTTATACCACTGTAGGATGACTATGGTTAACAATAATATATTCGGTAGTTTCAAACAGCTAGAAGGGGGATATTGATTCCCAGCACCAAGAAATGATAAATGTTTGAAGTGATGGATGCCCTAATTATCCTGATTTGATCACTATACATTATATGTATCAAAACATCACTAGGTATATACAATTACTACACACCAATTAAAATTATCCACCTGGAATCCCTTGTTGGAAAAAAATAAAATGTAATTTTAAAAAAGAAGAACTCTCAAAATGGAGAGACATAGCATCTTCTCCTATAAAAGACTCAGTAAAGATGTCACTCTCCCCATAATAAATGTATAATTTTAACATCATCCCAACCAAAATTCCAAAATGCCTTGTTTTCTTTTTTGCACCTTGACAAAATAGACTCAAGCTCATCTGAGATGATAAATAAATAAAAATAGTCAAGGAAACTATGACAAAAGAGGGTGCATTTGTACTACCAGATATTAAAAATATATAATATAAAACCATCCAATCTAAAACAGGGCAGTACTGATACATAAGTAGATAGATCAATGGACCTGAAGAGAAGAACTAGAAATCAAGGCCAAGCATAGATAAAATGTAATAGGTAATTCAAGATAAAGGAGATTATAATTGAGGTTGTTAAGGCAAATAATCAACCATTCTGAAAAAAATGACAGAACTTAACATACAGTAATAATTTCTCAGTGAATAAATAAAAAAAGCATGTCAACTTAATATTAAATGGATACACAGAAATATTCTACTGAATTAGAGAGATAAATATTAAATTAAGAAATAAAAAAATACTAGAAAACAACGATTTGATACTATACTGAGAAAGGTCTCTCAAAAATATGTAAGTTGGAAACTATAAAGAAAAGAAATAACAGATTTCAGCATATCAAAATGTAAACATGACAAACTACTGAAAACAAAATGAAGAGGCAAGCAATAAGCTGGACAAAAATATTATCCACATATGATATATGACACTATATACAAGTTAAAGTTCTTTAAAACCAGTAAGAAAGACAAGCCAATTTTAAATGGACAAAGAACTAATCACAGAAGGAGGAATGACTTTATATAAACACAAAAAGTCAGTATCACTAATAATCAAGAAAGAGTAAAACAAACAGGAAAGCACTGAAAGCTTTAATATAATATTAGCCAACCTCCACCATGGTATGGCGAACTCAAAACACGTACACACAACTAGTTCGCAGCTAAACTAATACAAACTTTTCCAAAGATAAATTTGATAAAACTGTATCTAAAACCTTAGAAGTATACACACTACTGTAATAGTATAACCTCAAAAAATGATCAAGGATGTTCTGAAATTTTTATTTATAAAGTCATTTGTCCAACATCATTGTTTATAACACCTGAAACAATCAAGTTTATTTAGTTGCATGGACAGGCACAAAAATATATGGGTCTTCTTGTAAAGAGAAGTGAGAAACAGAAGTAGAACTGAAAACTTGGGAGAAACTGAAGTAATCTGAAGGTTCACCCATCCGTCTTTTTCATGGGCTAATCAGTCAATCATGTATTTTCCTTCTCCCTCACCTCTAACTGAGTTGGTTTCTTCAACTTACTCACAATCCTGCTCCCTCATATCTCTTGTATACGGCTTAAGGCTGCCACATCCCTTTCACCCTAGTTTCTACTTCATGGCATCTCCCAAAGAATTCTTACAGTTTCTGCCCACGCTCTTAATTACTTTCCTTAATTTTATATTCTCCAAAAAAGGGTATTGGCCCAGGGCATCTTTTCATATAAAACCACTGGTAATAAGTCGGGCTGACTGACTCTGGCCTTGTATCTAATCCAAACAGCAGAGGTCGGGTGATCAGGAACATGGGCAAGACAAACTCTGTGACACTTCTAGTACAGAGACACACACAGACACACCCCCCAAAATTCAGGACATCATCAAAGTATCCCAATAACAGCAAACTGGCTAATAAATTGTAGCATATCAGTAGGGAGGGAATCATGTACAGTATATTGCAAAGTGGAAAACATAGGTTATCTGACCCCAGTAAAGAAGTATGAAGGATAGAATTATAGTTCTCAATTTTCTTTTGGTGACTCTGTATTTTCTAAAATTTCTTTATGAATTTAGATTACTTTTACAATCAGAAAAGAGCAACCACTTACTAAATATAATTTTTTTTAACTTTTTTCATTTTACTTTGTAAATAAAAAATATTTTGATCACCTTTCCAGCACCACATTTTGTGCCTTCATTAACCATCCCAGGATCTGGAACATCTGATCCTAGCTGGAAATCCACACCCCAACATGTGGTGCCTCGACTAGGCGTTTGAATAATAGCAGGCACAATTCCAAACACAGGCATTTCTTGTACATTCTCACACTGAAGCTTTCCACACAAAGCATTCCTATAAAGAGAGAGAAATAACGCAACATAAAATGTATCCAGTATATATAACAAAAGAAAAAAAATTATATATTTGCATATGGACAGAGTTTGCTGCTACGGAGGGAATCTCAACAGAGAAAGTGTAGAAGAGCAACAGAGGTCAAAGTAGCTTTCTTTAAATATGGCAGAAAAGGGAAAAAAAGAGGTAAGTGGATGCTAAGATGCAAATAAGGGTACCAGGTGGTACTGATGCCTCTTCTTTTACCACACCTAGTCTTCTTCACTGTCTGTCTAGAGCTCAAAAGTATAACTAATAAAGTTGTTTCTAGGTATAATTTTATAAATTCTAATATACAGAAAATAACACAGCAATACCAAAATTCAATTGCATCTTCTTACAGAGTTATGATACAGAAGAAATTAGATTCTAAAATGCAAAATAACTAAGAAAGTATTCCACCCCTCTTTGCCTGTCTAACTCTTGGTTACTTATTTAAAGAGTCAATTCATCAACTCGTTAATTCATTAATTAAATGTCGGAACTCTAGGAAGGCTTCCCTGACCATAATCCTTATTGCTAAGGCTGTGTGAATTAAATGCCCTTCCTATATCCTTTCATAACACTCTAGGTATTTCCAACAACAACTCCTATGACGTTATACTGAGATTTCCTGTTTAATTGATTGTCCTCTGATCCAAGCACCTAATCTATATCTGAATCTTCTCTATTATATCACTTCCCAGTCATCATAGGATATTTTTCCCCAATATCTCTAATTTACACCCTCTTGAAACTGCTCATTCTAGCTACCATCACGTTTTTTCTTATCATGTTAAAATCTACCTTTGTATAACATTTCCTCATTAGTCCCAGATCTCCCCTCAAGAGACTACACAGGTATCTTTTCCTCTTTTCACACAGCAACTATTTTAGGACAATTATTATGCAGCTCCTAAATACTTACTTCACCAGGTCACTATCCTACAATCACTTTTCATGCAACAAGGACGCTCCCTCCTAAATATGTTCCAGTTTGCCTCACTGTCTCTTGAAGCATAGTGCTCAGAATGGAGCATGAAATTTCAGTGAGAGCCTGGTGAGCAAAGGAAAAAATGGCGCTCTTATTTATTCTAGATACTGTACTTCTATTGAGTTCAAGATTACAACTTTTATAACTACATTATATTATTGATGTCCTTGAATACATCACTAACTAAAACTCCTATTTAATTTTTGCATGTGCTATTAAGTCTTCATCTTCCCTTCATCCTACATTTAAGAGTTAATAATTTTGTCCTACCTTTACATTTATTCTTATGTCACCATTTATTTGCTAGCTGACCTGATAGAAGTTCTTAAATTTTCTGAGCTTCAGTTTCTTTGGCTGAAACAATGAGATAAATGATGTCTATTTCACATAATTGGCTGAAATTAGATATGAAAACCTCAGAAACAAAGTGTGGCATAAAGCAGACCTCAGTTAAAATCTGTTGGAGCCTACCAAAATTCACATTGCTATGATGCACTCATACGTAGGTTTGGTGATATATTAAAGATTAAAGGAGGTTTGGTGATGTATTTAAGAGCACAGAAAATACTCTTAGAATACAAAAAGCTGTTATAAATCATTAAGACAAAGAAAATCACTTCAACAGGAAAATTAGCAAAGATGTAAACAGGCAGCTCAAAAAATATGAAATGTAAACAGTCAACAAAACTAAGAAGAGATGTTCACTGCTGTATAATGCTAATAGAAAGAAAATTCAGTTACAACCCTAGTAAAATAATTGCTTCAGGCAAGGATCATCCATAAAGTGAAAAACACTGGTAGGGAACTGGATATTCACATGGCACAAAATCATCATTCCACATATTACCTGATAGCTGCAATTTTAAAAAGCGTAACTCCACAATAGCAAGATCTGGTCACTGCCACTTAGCATCGCTAATTTTAATAACACTTCCCAGCCCTAAGTGACTCCTTGATATAATGCATTGCTTATGAACATCCTCGCCAAAAATAATTAATCTGAATTCAGCTAAGATTTTGGGCTTAGGTCCAGGTGTGGTAGATCATGCCTGCAATCCCAGCACTTTGGAAGGCCAAGGTGAGCGGATCATTTGAGATCAGGAGTTCAAGACCAGTCTGGCCAACATGGTGAAACCCTATCGCTACTGAAAATACAAAAATTAGCCAGGCGTGGTGGCACACACCTGTGGTCCCAGCTAATCCAGAGGCTGAGGCACAAGGATCACTTGAATCTGGGAGGTGGAGGTTGCAGTGAGCTGAGATCACACCACTGCACTCCAGCCTGGGTGACAGAGTAAGGCTCTACTCAAA